ACTTCTTGCTTATAGAACGCCTTCACCAGACATCTTACACAACAGTAACAACAACAACAATACAAACTACAACAACAACAACATCGCAAACAACAACAACAACTTCTACACCCAATACAATTCTTTGAAAGTCACAATAACAAGCCTATCGTACACATCATCATTCACTCACTTAATCCTTTTCATCATAATCCTATACATTACCCTTTTTTCCATTGTCAGCCAACAACGAACGAAGCAGCAGTCTTACGATTTTGTGAACAAGAATTTGAGTAACAACAACATCAACAAAATCATTAGCAGAAGACACAAAAACATCAGCAACAACGTCAAAAACAACAACAGCAACAAGATTTGTGAATGTATCAACACCACCAACATACACAACAACAACAACTCTCCAACAAACGCCAACAAAATAATTGTCAACAACGCCACAATAAACAACAACATCAACATTAACAACGGCAATCCTTTCAACAACAAAATAAACAACAACAGCATTGCAAATGACTGTTTGTTTGGCTCACGTGATCAACCGGAAAAGGAAATGTTTAAAATAAAGCTGGATGCTGAAAAACACTACGTCATAGCCAAAAACAATGCTTACATGTATTTATCATTGTCGCAGTCGATTCTTTTAATCGCAACTTTTTTTAAATTGATTACTTCATTTTTAGTGGCTAACGATTTTGGCGCCAATTTTCTGACAAATAATTATCTACTTCCGGAATTAGCTTGGCTGTCATTGGTCAGCGTTTTTACGAGTCCCCTGTTGCTATTTTTATATTGGCTTCGTCATCTCAACGTAATAAGTAAACCCGATTTTATTAGCAGAGATAGAAAAAATGTAAACAATAACACGGGTTATAATTGTAATGATAACACTAACTACAAACTAACTAACAACAACAACAAAGCTGACAGCAACTACAATGACATCAATATCAATAGCATTATGAATAACAGCAGCAGTAGTAGCAACAACAACAACAACAACACTCTCAAAAATAACGACATCATAGCCAATTCGGCACGCCGGCCAATTACCTTAACACGTTTATACATGTTTGGCATTCTCATCTATCTTTCCATCATTGTATTCATCGTCGCCATCACCTTCACCATCAGACCGAATCTATTCGTATTCGCTACACACTTCGGTACATCTCTACAAATAATCACTCCGATTCTCTTTCTGTTTCTGTCGCATCTGATATTGCTGTCGTCATCGTCGTCAGCGTCACCATCGCCTGTCTTGTTATCATCATCATCGCCATCGCTATCTTTGTCGGAGTTTTCAAAACCGTCTGACGAGGCAATCACGTCATCAATGACGTCATCGACGACCATGACGTCAGCATTGTTAACGTTAAATGCACCGTCGTCATCGTCAGATTCTCATCACTGCAAACTGAATATGGAATCTATTAAGATTAAAAACACATCAGCATCATCGTCGTCGTCTTCATCATCATCGTCTTCCAACTTTAAGCATCTTCATAAAATTAAATCTACTCTCTACTTTTTCATTATCTCCATCAACTTTCTACTCTCACTAAGCTTCATGTCTCTATTCTTCACAGATATCTTCAATAGTCTTGAGCCGGAGATGTACGCTAAAAGTAATGACTCACAAATCGCAAAATCCGACTTATATAGCGCTAATTTATCGCTAATATCCGAGTACGTAATACCGATTTATGTGCTACAATCGGTTTTTGAATACGTAATGCTGGTGTTATTGAGTGTGGATGTTATTTTAGCTTGGAAGATTGCGACAACTTTCAATTCAAAAATTTGTGGTAAGCTGGAAGAGACAAAATATTTTGATAGGAAACTTCACAACCAATTAAACAACGTCAATACATTAAATATTAATGACATTAATAGTTCAGACAACAACAAAGTTGGTCAAAGTGATGTCGGAGCCGTCAACACAAACAACAACAACAACAACAGTAGCGATAACGATAGTACTGCAATAACAAAGAACAGCATCAGCTATAACCTCAATAGCAACAACAACAACAACATCGATGATGTTGAAACTACACATATCGCCAACAAATCATCATCAACATCATCAACATCAGCATCCTATAAAACCGAAAATTCGCCAGCGATGAGCGATAAATCGAGTTCTAACGATAACGAATCAGTGGATACCGACTTGATAATGCTGATTAACGATAAAGGGTACATCCGTTTCAGAACGAGTTCAGATTCGGAAGCTCATATTTCAAACAACGAAAAACTTATCAACGAAAATTCTTCAACTTTTGACAAAGGTGAACATTCAAGTTTCAGAAATTTTTTAAACAAAACCTTTAATATCTACAAATATAAAAATGAACCGACTAACAATGAAAACTTGATCGGACAACTAATCAAACCGACAAAAAACAACGAACTCGATGATTTCAATACCGACGACACGGAAACACAATTATCCGACAAGCAGGGCATAACCGATACAATATGGCCAACGGTAACCGCAAAAAATTTTGACCGATCGATTCTAGTGTCGGTACGATCGACACATCCCAGAACGGAAGGAGTCGCCAGGAAAACGTTACGATTCGCCGCCATAAGCTGCGATTTGAGTCCGACGAAACATACCGATAGCGAATCTCTGCTCTTTTCTTTAACTCGACAAACCGGCCGATCCGATGTCCACGCGAAAGGTTCGTCGACGAGTCTGGTCGGTAGTGTCAACGGTTCTCAATACTTTTCGAAATTTAAAACTCCATCCATCCATCTGAGAGAGAGCATAGAGCAGGCTCTCAATCTGTGAGTCACATCTTAAAATATTTCGATAATTTTTTAGTTTTTGTTTTTGTTTTTATTCATTGAAAAAAATTTCTTTCTTTCTCAACTGGCAAATATTGTCAAATATCAATTAATTAATCGATCAATCAATTAATTTATTTATTTAATCGTTAAAAACAAAATATTTCTATTTAACCTAACAAATAATTTAATTTGAATTTGAAGACAGTTGAACGACAGTGAAGTACCTTTCAGGTCGCAATCAGGGAAGTACTGATTGAACATCTTAACAACCCAATAAGATGCATTTTATGGGGAAAAATATCAAGACAAAATAACGAAACGAAACACATTGAAAATCGTTCATTAATTCAAAAATAACGAATCGATAAAGGCAAATGTTGACAGCAAACCAACTAAAACTCTAGCGGAGACAACAAAATGTGATTCAACATACCATACAGGCCACACAACTCTGGTACATCAGTTAGAAAAAAAACAGAAAAAAATCTTCAGCACCAAAAAGAAACAAACATGACATTAAGACAAACCACGACAACACACACACAACAACCACAACTACACACACACACACAAACACATCAACATCCTCATCATAGTAAGATTGGCAGCATTAAATCACCAGTGACTACCTACGTAGACAACCCATAATGGCCACAGATGACCATAAACAACAGAACAATAGCACTTTAATTAGAATTTAATTTCTTTGTTAGCTTGGCTCCTGTTGAAAGTATATGTGTGCATGCAGAGCTTATAATACAAATGTATACACATACATATATCGCTGTACAAACACATGTGTATTTCGTATACATTACAGATATATAGGTATACAAACAAACACATACCAATGGTAAATATCGATGTACAAACACATGTGTATTTCGTGTACATTGTAGGTATATAGGTATACAAACAAACACATACAAATGTACATGCTTAAATTCGCAAGCATATACTTTCGGGTCCTGTCACACAAACGTCAAATACATTCATTTCTAGATCAATCTTCCTCTTAAACATTGTTTGTCACTTTTCAAACCGACTGTCAACTTGTAATGTTTTGTGTTTTTTGTGTTATTGTTTTAGGACAAAGTGAAAGCGGGGTTGCGTGATACTGAGACGAGTGACAGATGTGAATGGCGTCGAGGGGTATTTCGGTTTCATCATAGGTAGCCAAACGGCAACCCCCGATCTCGGGGAAAATATCGTCTAAACGTGTGTTGTTGTTTGTTTTTATGTGTTTTTGTTTATGTGTTTTGTTTTGCTTGCTTGTTATAAACTAGACACGTACGTACCGGCTATATCATTTCGTTTATATTGTACATGTAAACGTTTAATTAAAATAGACATTCTTTTATGTTGGTGCAGTTATAAAAGCATGAAACATGTACTCGCACGGTACATATATTCGTAGATAGATGTGTGCATTTGTTGTACATGCGTGCACTTTGTGATTCAGATGCTATTGAGAAGATTTAACGCGCATATATCTTTTATAAAAGTATTTTCTTGTTAAGTTTTGTGTTCATCCATCCATTCGTTCGTTCGTTTGTTCATTCATGCATCCATTTACACACACGTACACACACACGTACACACACACGTACATGTGCAGTGCAGTAAACCATGTGTGTTTGCTGTTTACACAGTTTACATGTTAGCATTTTATTTATAGCTGGAGGGCAGAATTAATGATGGCAGTCGAATTCGCCTCAATTACTTTTAACCTCGATTCACATTTAATTATATCAGTAGACGATGGTGACGTCGTTGGATCTTTGAAGATTTAGTGTTTTTGTCTTGGTAGTCAGGATAATTTTCAGTGTCAAACTCGTTACAATTCTTTTTTTTTCATTAATTTATTATTTTTTCTTGATAGTATTTGTTTCTGGAAAGAAATAGAATTTTGTTTGGGAGGATTGAGTTTTATTTAATATAGCAAAAAAGAGTGTATGTCTTTATTATTTAAAATATAAATTTGTGTGAGCGCTTGTGTGTGTATATGTGTGTGTAAACTACATGCCTGTAAAAAAACTAAGAATTCAAAAATCAGGCATTCAATTCGTAAAAATACATTGCATAAACAAGTGACACTGTACAATGAACATTAAAATATTCTATATATTTACTAATCTATCTATCTATCTATCTATCTATCTATCTATCTATCTATCTATCTATCTATCTATCTATCTATCTATCTATCTATCTATCTATCTATCTATCTACACGATTATTTATTCAAAATATTACATATCTTTGGTATCAGACAGCGACAAATAAAACTTATAAAAACATTTTTTTTAAATGTAAAAAAATTCAAAAATGTGAAATTTTGGGAAGATAAACAAAAAGACACGATGAAGGAAAAACACGATAGCTAGTCATTTAAAAATTATTAAATAAAATACTTTGTAATAAATTAAAATTTATAATAATTCTTCCGGAAAATCGAAGTTAGACGGCAGGGGTGGAATGGGAGGAGGTGTGTCGGGAATGGTCAGTCCCTCAGCCTCCAGCAGTCTCAATTTGATCTCCATGTTCAGCAGCGTATCCAGATCACGCTTCATATCCTCACTGGACATCTTTGGAGAAAAATCAGTTAGGACGTGTTTGATAATGTAATAAGAAAAAAAAATTAAAATAAACTTAGTGGTCTGAATATTTCAAAGTTGTATGTGTGGTTTGGTAATTAGAATACGTGCGTGACGCTTGCTAACTTGTCTCTTCCTCAAAATGTTCAGTCCGTCCATCCAGATGTTAAATACCTCCTCGTTTGGCGCCAGAAAGTTCAAAAGGTCAGCCCTCTCTGCGGAGCAGGACTCCTCTAAGACGATGGTGAACGCCAGATTTGCATTAGCCTTCGTTGAAATAATTAACATAATCAATGGAGTATTTAGCATAATTAATGCGATAATTAACATAATCAATGAGATGATTAACAAAATTAATGCGATAATTAACATAATTAATGAGATGATTAACATAATTAATGAGATAAATAACATAATTAATGAAATTGTTAACGCAATTAATAAAATAATCAAAGTAATGATTGAAATGAATGGATTAATTAAGGCCGAAACAAGAATAAGCTAAGCAAAGAGTAAAAGTATACAAATCAAATATTTATTTAATCAATTATTAAATTAAAATAATTTAACAATCCAATTAATTTTCAAATTTAAACAACATAGTAGATTGTAAAATACCAGAAAAAAAAAGTTCAGGCACACTAACGACTTTCTTCTTGATATCCTTAACATGTGGGCAGTCCTTACCGACTAAGACGTCTTTGATTTCATTAATGGCCACTAAAATTGTGGGTAGGTAGATAGAAAGAAAGAAAGATAGATAGAAAGATAGATAGATAGATATATAGATAGAGATAGATAGACAGAGAGAGGGAGAGAGAAAGAGAGAGATAAAAGATAGAGAGACAGACAGACAGATAGATAGATAAGTTTACGATATAAAAAACAATAAAAAACACCGTAAAATCAAAACAATTCCAATTCGTTTCAAATTTGAGTCTACTCCTATTTTCTCAAGAATATAATGAGAAGAGTAAAGGAGAGGCGTGAAGCCAACCGTTGTAAGCCAACTGTTCGCAGGATGGCGCATTATTTTCTTCGCACTCACCGTAATGCAGCGTCAGCATGTTCACGCTCAAACGACAGTACATGAATTTGTCTGCAGGGATTTGTAGCGACAAAAACAACAATTGAAATAATAATAAAAACATTACTATTAACAATAATGACAATAATTATAATGATAATTATAATTTTTATATTTAATAACGCACCTTGTCTTCTGTAAGCTTTCAATGAAAACTTGGTTCCCTCCGTGAGATAGTTGAGCCTCTGCTTCTCGATCAACTCTATGATTTGTACCTTCAATTGCTTCCTCAGTTCTCTAGTTGGTTTGGCAGGTCGATCAATCGATTGGTCGATCAAAAAATCCACCACCAGCACACCAATCCACCAATCACTCAATCAAACAACGAAAGAATTAAAATATAAATATAGGCCTACTACTACTTAACCTACTACTACTATTCAAACAATCGGCCAACCGATCAATCAATTAATCGACCAATCGATCGGCCAATCAGTCAATCAATCTGCCAATCAATCAATCAATCTGCCAATCAATCAATCAATCTGCCAATCAATCAATCAATCTGCCAATCAATCAATCAATCAATCAATCAATCAATCAATCAATCAATCAATCAATCAATCAATCAATCAATCAATCAATCAATCAATCAATCAATCAATCAATCAGCCAACAGAAACTAACAATATAGGCTCAGCTTGAAGTCCCCATTCAATCTTCATCATCCTTTCCTGGTACCAGAGGTTCGAAATCTCCTGGTAGGTTAACTTAGAGAGCTTGTTCCGAAACTGCTCGAACGTCATTGGTTGGTTCTCAAGGGCTCGTATTATCTGCTCCTGTACCACCCCTATGACCTGTGCATATGTGTGTGTGTGCGCGCGTAAATTATAAAAAATAAATCACCTGCCTTTATGTTTGTGTGTTTGTGTGTGTGTATGTGTACGTATGCAGGTGTGTATATATGTATGTATGTATCTATATGTACTAATACAAATTCTTCACTAATGCCCTAATCAGTAGCGGACCTTAGTGAAGTCAGCTACGGTAGCCTTCATCTCCTTCCAGGTTTTGTTGAAGAGTTGGATGCAGATGCAGTAGAACTCCTCGAAGGAATGGTCGTTCGTGAAGAAGAGTGGATGGTAGGACCGGCCGTCTTCCGTCGCTGTTTCAAGGTCAAAGTTGAGGGTCGTAGTTGAAGGTCAAAGTTGAAAGTCATGTCAATCAATCAATCGGTTGAAACACTTTCGATCGATGAATCAGTAAACTTACGTTGGTCGGCAATCTTCAGGGTTTCGCCGATCAGCTGGGTGAGTTCGATGCTGGCCTGTGCAAAGGGCATGTCGTGATCGTCTCCACGGCACGAGTTCTCCAGGACCACCTGCCGAGGAAAAAAAAAATGACGACGACGATGACGTCATCATTCACGTCATCATCACCATCATCACCTTGGTATAATTCTCCCTGTGGTTCTCGGCGAAGTACATCATGTTGTGGAGGGGTAGGAGGCCGGGAGGTGTGGCAAGGAAGTCTTCGATCGGATTCATGTGGTTCTGTGATGAATGAGTGCGTGAGTGAATTAAGGAGTGAATGCTTGAATGAATGAATGAATAAATGAATGATGAGATGAATTAGAGAGCGAATAAAAAAACGTTTGAATGAATAAAAAAGTAAACGAGTGTATGTAAGACAGACAAACAAACAAACAAACATCTACACAAGACATACAGAACATACAAACAAAATATACAAAGCATACAAACGAACAAAACCTGAAATCCCAATCTCTTAAAGTCTTTTAACTGACTCTGCCTCTTTGCAATCGGTGTCAAATCAGGGTCTGTATCGAATGCTATCTGACGCAGTTCCTTTATTTGTAAGAGGGCATTCTGGGGCAAATATGGGGCACATTAACTGCTATTCATCTTTTTATTGAAGGGAAGTATTTTTATTATTGATTATTATTACTGTGTGTTTGTGTATGTGTGCGCGCGTGAGTGTGTGTGTGGCATGTGTATGTGTGTGTGTTTGTGTGAGAAAGAACATGAAAAAAACTAAACATTCACCGTCATAACTAAAACAAAAATCATAATAAAAAATACTACTACGTCATCATCATCATCACCATCACAATCATCATCACCACCATCACAATCATCATCGCCATCATCACAATCATCATCACAATCATCACCACAATCATCACCACAATCATCACCACCATCACAATCATCATCACCATCATCACAATCATCACCACCATCACAATCATCATCACAATCATCATCACCACCATCGTCAGCACCCACCATCATCGTCATAACTCACGGAATCGTTGACGTCAACGGGTGCGTTTTGTTTTTCGTCGATGACGTTGAAGAGGAGGGACTGGAGGACATGGAGTTGGCGTAGCATGCCCTGGCTCGGATTGCCCCTATGTATGATGCACTGATGGTGGTTCGTGATTATGATGATGACGACGATGATGATGATGATGCTTTTGGTGATGATTATGATCTTAATAGTGGTGGTGATGACGATGATGATTGTGGTGGTGATGATGATGACGATGATGGTGGTGATGATGTGACGACAATGACGATGTTGTTGGTGGTAACGATGACGATGATGATGATAACAAGAAATTGATGACAAAGACGTAAATGATGATGATCACGTGGTCTAACTAACTGTCAGTATGATGTTCCTCAGTGATTTGAAATTAGAGTTATCCACAATTCTCTAAAATAATTAAATAATATTAATAATAATTTATTAATGTAATTATTAATATTATTATCATTGTTATTTTTATAGAATAATTATGCCTACTCGCTTCTTCTCACTACTTCCTTTCATGAACAAAGCATTGAAAACCGCCAGGGCACTCGTCTGAATTCCCTCCGTAGAACTATTCATAATTATAACATTATGACGTCATCGTAACCGCCGTCATTGTCGTCGTCGTCATCATTGTCGTCATCATCGTTATCGTAATCATAACAATCAAAGTTATCATTGTAATCATTGTAGCCATCGTTGTCGTCATCAGCCAGCCTCATTAGCGGCATCAACATTATAGCAGACCTTTGCAGATGTGGAATGAGACTGGTTGATGTGATTTCTTGCTCCACGATGGAGTACATATCAGGACTGTAAATTGAGAAATATCATTTATTAGTTCGTTCGTTCGTTTTTTCATTCACTCACTCATTCGTTCGTGTCCTTTTATTTATGTATTCATTCATACGTTCACTCAATTGTTCATTCATTCACTGACTCGTTCGTTATTTAATAATTCACTCAGTCTGTTATTCGTTTCTATTTTGATCCAATTAGCCAATCAATTAATAGATCAATTAATGACCAACCAACCGACTGACCGACCAATTAACAATCGACCAACCAACCAACCAACCGACCGCCCAACCAACTGACCCACCAACCAATTCATAATAATGGACTCGATGATATCCAAGGAAGCTTGCACCACAGAATTCTCCAAGTTCCTCACAGAGTTAGTACAGTTGGACACCTATTTTCAAAATATATTTCTCGAACACGTAAAAATTTAAAAAAAAAACAGAAAAAAATACGGTAAAAAGAACCAAAGAAAGAGCAATTTGTAAATGGACAAAAGTGCAAAGAATAAAAAAAAATCAAAATTGAATTAGGAAACAAACAATTTTGATGAATTCATGATCGACAGTGCCCCAAGCAGATGGGTCAAAATCCATCAAGTCGATGAAAGATTTTAGCAAGTAAGACAGCCTCTCGTCGACGCTTAAATTAGAAAACATTCAAAATTTCATAATCATCTAAAACGTTTATAAAATATAACGTATGCAAACTTTCAGCCCACTAATTATGATAATTAATTCTAATTTATGCATACTTGTTGGCCCCCCTGATCATATTCTCGACCGTAGTAAGACCACCAATAGATATGAAGGCATTTGCAAAGGTTTCATCGGTCGACAATTCAGAAAGTCTCTTCAGGTTATCTTTGATATTTTCACTTTTGTGTCTTTGTATGGATTCGTGGATGGCTTTGGCTTGTCGGGACTAGTGAAAAATGAATAGTGAATTTAAATTTTAGTTAATGGTGGTGTCATGAGTTATTTAATTTTTTTTAAATAGTTAATTTAATAGGAATTTAAAGTGTTTTTTGATGGTTAAAATATTTAATAAATGAATAATATTAATTAATAAACAAAAATAATATATGTAATAGTATTTAAATAACAATTAGATGAATGAATGAATGAATAAATAAATGGGTATAGAGTGAATAAAGAAATGAATGAATGATTGAATGAATGAATGAATGAAAGTAATTATTTAATTAACTACAAATCAATTAAAAAAGAAATTTTGAAAAAAAAATCACAAAACTCACAACAGACAACACAAGATTCAGCACAGATCCATTTTGTATTTCACTCCAGTTCTATCATTATTACATTTTAAAAGTTTAATTAATCAATCAATTGATTGATTTATTTCAATTTTCAAGAATTTTTTTCATTTTATTTTTAGCAGTAACATTACTATTTATTCAAAAATAACATTACAAGTAGTAATTTATTCACATTAATGATCAAATAAATAATAACAATAATAAAATAAATAATAATAATAAACAAACATTGTCAGTAAGGAATTTATAACAATTTGGCATGTTTAAGTACAGTGTGTAGTCGTCTGGATTCTGGAGCTGATAACTTGGCGATATGAATTGAAATTTAATTCCATGGAATGAAATTTATACAAATTATAAAATTTAAATATATATATATATATATATATATATGATGAATGGAATAAAAAAGTCCAACCCATAACAGATTGAGACTATAAACGAGGATTGATATATATATGTGTAGTAGTGGATCACTAATTAATTATTGCTAAAAATAGATTCATATCAAGATATATAATATATAAATAAAATAAATAAATAATATATAATAAATAAATAAACAAACAGATAATTGAAAAATCAGCTGAAACACAGGACTTTTTAAATTATTGATATTCTATTAATAATATTATTAACTATTAAACATTTTTTCAAAATACTAGTAAAAAATTCACTAACTGACTGCAAAGTTCTTTGACTACTGTTGCAAAAGATTTGCCCTACGTATTTAATTTAAAATTTTAATTAATTTGATATTTTATTTATTCAATTATTTAATTAAAATCTTTTAATTCAATTATTCATTAATTCAGAATAAATTAAAATATATAATTTTTAGACATTTAAATAAAATATGTGAAATAAACTCTACAAAGTAGATGGACTGACCGTTTCAATGGACATTAGATACGGGAGCCTGTCCTCATAGGTGATGCCAACTTTCTTGATGTCGTTAGTTCCGGACATTTTCCGTTACAAAATTTCAAACTTTAAAAAGTTCAAAACAAATTTGAATATATACTCAAAACGTTTAAAACTAGTTCATTCGTGCCCGATTAAGCCCCAGGCAAAAGTGATTTATGTTAAAACTGGATTTTTATATTCATTTATGTCCGGGTTTACAAATTAAAAGTAAACGGAGTCTAAAATGATAAAATGTTAATTGCCATTAAAATAAATATTTGCAGTGGCAGGCGTGGCTAACACGCACGCACGCACACCTACACCTTGGTATTCGTGAAATTTTGCGAAAAACTGAATCCAAAAACTTCTTATGCACATATTATTTAACAGAAAAAAATGAAAAAACGGAAACTCCTGCCAAGTCGACGCAAAAAAAAACAAGAGCAAAAAGAATAATACAGAAATACTGAGAAAAATTCAAAATTCTTGAATCAATCTTGAAACAGTCATGGAGATGTTCTTCTTAATATCGCTCCTTATGGTAATTTCGTCGACCGCCAATTTGACAAAGCCTAAAAACTGCCTGGCATCCTTGCCAACGTCATCATTGCCATCATCATCGGCAGCAGCAGCAGCAGCAATAGTAACAACAGGAGTTGTAACGTCATCAACAGTAGTAGCAGTTGTAGCAGCAGCAGAAGTAACAACAGCAGCAGCAGTAGTATTATTTTTAAACTTGGCCACCTCGACAAGGCAATCAGTGATAAACGGTGAGACCAGGTAGTGCACCTCCTTCGGCAGAAATGTCAGCATCTTCAAGGTCGAACTGATGCATTGTTGGTACTTCAGCAATGATGACGACGACGACGACGATGATGAGGATGGTGAGGATGAAAGCTGTTTGTCATCTTCTAGGAATAATTTCTGTTAACGTTTTAAATACGCATTTAAGAAGATTAAATTAATAGATTCTACGCTCATCATTATTCATCGTAAATGATAATAGGTCCCACTAACAGGACAATAAAATAAATCAATATAAGCATAGTCATCATCATGATAATCATCGAAATCATCATCATCATCATCATAATCATAACCTTCATAAAGAGCACGGAAAGATGAATGATATTGTACCATGGAAAAGAAGACCACTGATAACAAACTGAAGCTGCCTCAAGAAATGATGATGACGACAATGGCTTTGGTAGCGATGATGATGATGGTGGTGTTGTTGATACTGATGATGATGTAATAGTATCTTTCTTGCTGATGGCTTTAGTATCTTCATTAGATCTCTTATGCAATACATCGTAACACACTACTAAGTCGGTAAAGAATGCTAACAATTTTGCTTCGGCTGATGATGATGATGATGTTGATGATAGCTTCTGCGATGATGATGGTGATGATAATAACGGTTGTGATGATGAAAAGGAAGAGGAGGAAAATGACGATAATGACATCACTCGTCCTGATAGTGATAGGATCTCGATAGCAAATCTACAAACATTTAACCATTCCCTATTGCTGCAGAGAACTATTTTCTGTGGAAAATTATCGAATAAAATGAAAAAAAATAAAATGAAAGAAAAAAAACAAACGAACCTTCAAACAGATTAAAGAGAGAATACTTTCAACAGAGGGGCCCTTGCTAATCAAATTCATGAGTGGCCCGTTCTTAAGGGTAGCATTGAGAATATCATCATGGTAGGATAGGCCGTCCACCAGCTCGAATAAAACTGTTTGTGGATTTTTGTAAAATAAAAAAAAACCATTAAAAACACGAGAAAATAATTTTATTATTAAATTTTAAATAATTAAAAAATAAATGATGTATAATTTCATTGAGTGGTGCGGCGTGTAAGCCTCAGTCACCGGCTTCAAATTCAAGGAAATCCCATACTAATCATGTATAATGTATAACGTTCAGTTCTTATATGTACGCTATGCATATACGTATGTTGTACATTTGCAGAAGTTGTAGATATATATATATATATATATATATATATATATATATATATATACATATATATATATATATATATATATATATATACATGCATACATTATATATATGTATATAATAATTTTGGGGTCTCGTGGCAGAGTGGTTAGCGTGTCCGTCTACAACTCCCACGACCGGGTTCGAACTCTACAGTTTCTGCAGGTTCATCCGGGTAGCCGACCCCCGGTCAACCCAGCAGCCGTCCATCCTTTCGAGGTTGGTAAATGGGTAGACAACGTAAGTTGTCGCATGCTGGCCGGCGAAATGGCTCAGTGGTTCAAATGCTCGCTGAGTCAAACATCTCAATGGCTATCATATACTCAGCGTATATGATGCGGTGCTTGCGCGTGCACATAAATACATGTGTACGTCGTGTGAAAAGGATAAACAGCCTTTGTGGCGAAGATGACAGCTTCATATCAATGGATGAATATATGAAGAACATGATAAAAGATATATAGATAATATATATCTGTAACATTGTAAGTGGTTCTGCGTATATCAGAGCTGCAATAATAAAAACTAATAAAAAAAAAATTATAAATATAAATAAATAATAATAATAAATAATCACCTGTTTGAAATGATGCTACGTCACCATCAGCACGACGCAACTTCATCTCAATGTCTTTTATGTACGGCTGCGAAAAAAAAAAAAAAAAAAAACGAAAAAAAAAATTAATCTGAAGAAAATGACAAGTAATATTTATTATGATCATAAATATAGGTCATAAAAAAAAGGGGCATACCATTAAATTATTAAATTATTAAATAATTAATTATGGATATTATAATATTATAATAATAATTAATTATTCTAACATCACTTACTACACTGGCACTTTCTTCCATAGCATCACCACCGTTTGTAGCGACTGCATGAGTTGTGGCAAGATCATCAACTGCAGTAGCATCACCACCAGCAGCAGCAGCATCATAAGCGTCGCCATGAGCTTCAGCGGCAGAAGTAGCAGAAGCAGCGACAGATACAGCCGCAAACAGATAGAATAATTCCTTGCAATGGATTTGCTGCTGAATACCACCTGCAATATCGTTAACATCCAATACAGATCCAGCTGCAATAATAACGAAAATAATTATGAATAAATATAAATAATAATAATATAATAATAATAATTATAATGATGATCGTGAGCTGAAACCACAAAATCACCGTACAATGGAGTAAAGGTCATAAGAACTGTACTGCAGTGATTCATTCAACAGTAAATAGTAATGAATAATGGATTATAATGTTTATCAGACATGTAGGACATACACACACCCACAAACAAACACACCTTCTCGCTCTCTCTCTCTCTCTCTCTCTCTCTCTCCCACACACACACACACACAAGCACACACATATAAATATATATATATATATATACACAAACATAAAAATATACACAAACACACACAAGAAAATCACCTGAATTATTTTTCGCCAAAAGTAGCAGCCAACACTGTGTAACATTCCTTAAGATGTCCTTCAATTCTATCAGTTTATCACCAACAACAACAACATCACATTCATCTTTATCATTGCAATTATTATTGCTGTTGTAGTTATTGTTATCATCACTATGTTCGGTGAAAAGTGAATCTAAAAATTTAGCCTCAAAATCTCGGACAAATGTATAGCACTGGTCTAGGAGAAATAGCATTGATATGTATGTTAATGTTTCTAGTTGTTGAGAATCTTTGCTATTGTTGTTTTTATTATTATTATTATTATTGTTGGTTTTGTTGTTGTTGTCATTATTATTGAAATATAAGGCCAATAATTTCAAATGAGAAAGATAATATTTAACAGCAGCAGTAGTAGTAGCCACAGTAGCTGCAGCGATTGTTGTCGCTGGTGCTGATAACATCTTTGCGATAGTTGGCAGAATGATGTCAGTCATCATGACATCACGGGACGATATCAACTGTGATTGGCCCGTTACAACCTTAGCTCCACCTCTGCCGGAAGTGGCTATGAATACAAAAAAAAATTATAACACTAGTAGTTGAAGCACATCATTGTTACTATTCATTCATTCATGCATTCATTCATCCATTACAATTATCTCTTCAATATATTTTTCATAAGCGTCAACAACAACAGCAACAAACACACACACATCACATACACACACACACATACACACACACACACACAAACACACACACCACCATCGAGGCATTTATAAAAGTAGGGCAATCTGTCTAACTGCTTGTTTGTCAGTCACACACACACACACACACACATATACACACACACATACACAAACACACACACATATACACACACACACAAACAAACAAACACACACACACACACATACCACCGTCGAGGCATTTATAAAAGTAGAGCAATCTGTCTAACTGCTTGTCATTCATCGCCCCATCTGCATATAACTTCAGAAATATTTCACTGAACAGCAGTGGCCTGCATACGGCTAGATGTTTGACTATTAGTTGCACTAAATCCAACGGTGACGTATTCCTAGGCAGGTCGACGACGATGACGTCACCACGGTTATTGATTTTACAATTATCATCATCACCATCATTATTATTACCATTATTATTTATATTATTATTATTATTGTTGTTGTTGTTATTGTTATTATTATCATTATTATTATTATTAATATTATTAAAGATACTTTTGCTTGCACTGGCCCTCAAATCAAAACATCCGTACAGATTCAAATGCTGTCAGAAAGTTCGAAGTTTGAAAAAAAAGGATTATAAATCCTGACATAATGATGGACAAAGAGAGGCTTAAGGCGAGAAAATGAAAAACAAATTGCCAATGAACATTCCACCACAGTGGCGAACATGCTACACATAAAAACAGACAGACAGACAAACGAATGAACAAACGAACGAACGAATGAACAAACAAACAAACAAACGAATGAATGAATGAACAAACATCAACAAACATACGATGGAATGAAAGAAAGAGAGAAACCAAACTAAAACGAATGAATGACTGAATGAATGAATGAACGAACGAACGAATGAACGAATGAAGAAAAAAGCCATCCCATACCCATATCAAAGTGTTGACGTTTTGTACATTGTTTGATACGGAACGTAGGATCATTTCCAGAGATCTCTCAGGGTCAACCATCAGCAGAAGGAAAATCTGGGAAGAAACGACAACGGTGATGACGACGATGATGACGTCACGGTAGTGATGATGACGTTACGGTAGTGATGATGACGTCACAGTAGTGATGATGGCGATAGTGATAACGGTTCATGACGATAGTGAAGAAAATGATAACGATGATGATAAACATGATAGTATCATTATTATTTTTTTTTTCAAACCTTTTCAGGCTTTACGTTACTCTTTTCCTCGCTGATTCTATTCAGCAGTGTCGTCCATTTTGATATGAAGACGTCCCTGTCGAAAGACCTCTCATCATTATTATCATCGATACTTCTAATGGCAGAGCAATTATTTTTATTATCGTTATCATCATTCTCATTGCTGTTGTTGTCATCACCAGGTAGTAGGTCTTCGTTCATCGTCATCATTTGATAGTGTAACCGTTGGATCTTCTCCTTAAACTGAAAATGACGATGATGAAGAGATGATGATGATGATGCTGATGATGATGATGTAATAGCCATATTATTATCATTGCTGATGATGTTATAATTCTTGTCGTCGTTGTTGTTGTTGCGGTTGTTATTGACACTGTTGTTGCAGCTGTTGCTGAGACCGTCGCTGCTGAGACAGTCGCTGGCGTAGACCGCATGTAAGATATTGCTTAGTTCTTCATTGGGCAAATTACTTAGAGCTATTTGTAAACACTGTTGAAATTTAGAATGGAATGAATGAATGAATGAATGAAAAAAGTCACGCACATCAAAATGATATCATTAGAAAAAATTATCATGTTTTGTTGTCTATCACAATTATGATAATCATGATAATAACAACAGCAATGACAGCAACAATGAAATAGTAATAATAATAATAATAATAAACCAGACCAAGAGAATGGGCCCGAGATAGTCATCTGGCTCTCGTGGGGGTTTTCGATCTAGCAGTAGTGACTCAGGTTCAGATTTTATAATGAGTTTCTGCACCTGCTGTAGTTTCTGCTTAAAATAGCTTTCTGGTGCAGGCAGAGAAGTTTTTGAAAAAAATGATCCCGCCAATCCTTTCCAGAGAGATCCCATTTTGAAAAGAGTGGAGTATCGGGATTTTTCCAATTCCTGCTGTTGTCGGCGTTTTTCCTGCTGTGGTCGTTGTTGTATCTTCTTCTGATCTTCCTGTCTTGCCAGCTTAAAATCCAGTCGCCCCCGGGGATGATACATCCTCCGCAGCAAATGTCGACCCGATTTCTCTTGTTGAGTCAGTTGAGGAAGCGGTGGTAGTAGCTGCTGCTGCTTCTGAACGTTTACGATGAGGGAGCAGACGAGCAGATAACATTCACTCGAGTTGATCAAAAGTGGATTGCATCTCCTCAGGAAACTTTTGATCTTTGCTATGACCCTTTTGTGGCGGTGATTTTGACGATGATGATGATTTTGACGTTATCATCATCACAATGATGGTGATGATGATAACGGCGTTATTGGTAATAATAATTAGGAGGAGGAAAATTTTGATGTTAAAAATGAAGTTAAAAGTACTGATAAAAATGACGACGATTAATATGACTGAGTAGATAAACATAGTGGGTCTATATATAAACATAGTGGGTCTAATTATTATCAATCAGAAAATGCTTCCGCTTGTATCAAGTTTATGGATGTAACTTTTTCAAACGAGTTTCAAAGTATTTTTTTTGTGTAATTTTAAAAAGGATCTTTATTAGTTAGATGTAAATTCAGCCCGAAAAAAGGTTGAACAGTTGTCTGAGATTTTTTAACGAGCATGTAATTTGTACGCAAATTACAAATAATAACGCATATAATACATGTAAATGTATAAATACATATAAAAACTAAAATGGTTATTAGTATTCTTTCCCTGAAACGATGGCAGATACGGACCCAACCAACCTTCTATTTAAAGGAATTTTACAAGCATCGGCCATCTTCATGAAAAACATTCTCTGGACTTTAATACAAATAATATTGTTATTTTTTTTATTCATTTATTATTATTAATATTATTTTTAATTTTCCTTATTATTATCATCAATAAAAATAATAAACAAATATATACATTAGAACAAGGCAACACACTAAAATAGATAATTTAAAAAAATGAACGAATAAATAAACTATTAATAGAATGATGGATTGTATCATTGAATAAATGAATGAATGAATGAATGAACGAACGAACGAACGAACGAATGAATGGATAAATTATGAATGAATGAATGAATGAATAAATGAATTAATGAATTAATTAATTAATGGATGGATGAATGAACTGATAAATGAATGAATGATGAAAATTGAAATTGTCAACCATCAATATCTAGATCTGGCCTGCTTGAAACCGCCAGACATGATACAATATCATAAAACGGAGTCTCAGTCATCAAAGCGTATTTCTTCTTTTTATAACCGTTAATTTTATCAATTATTTCATCCAACTCTTCATAACTATTACAATTACTACCATTATTATTGTTGTTGTTGTTATTACTCTGATTAATAATAGTAATATTTTTAGTTTGTGGTTTCAAGTTCGAAATGACGAATGATAATCTATCGAGTTCGATATCCACAATGCTATAGCCAAATGTATATGAATCTCTTAGCAACAACACCAGACTGTCTTCTAGCTTTTGGATGTAATTAAATAAAGTTATTTTGTTATCTATTATAATTTCTATTAATTCGGAAATTAATTTGTCTACGGTCTCGACACTGTTGTCGTTGTCATTATCGTTACTATTTTCATCGGCTAAGCCAACAGCAGTAGTTAGGAGTCTGTAGCTATAGCATATATTTTTATCAGTAAACATGCCACTCCTTAAGAGCGAATCATAGTTACTGTTAAAGTTGGAAGGGTTTTTCAATGATAAGATGCTATCTTTATCCAGTATACAGGAGTTATTTTTGGCCATGAAATTTAAAAAATTTCCAATGTTCATAACTGTAATTAGGAATAGGCGGTCGTCGTCGCCATAAAGATCACGACGAAATTTTATTTTCTCATTTTTTATCTGGTTCAAAAATTTCCTATTCAGCTCTAATATCAGCCTACAAACTTCTCGAAAATTAGTTTTTATCTTCAAATCTAGCTTAGACTGATTAGAATGATTGTGACTGAAGCCATTGTTAATGACACTAGTAGTAATGTCATTGTTTGCAATACTGTTGATGTTATTGTTATTAATAGTTTCAATGTTACAACTGTTGTTGTAATTGTTGTAACTGTTGTAGTTGTTGTAACTGTTGTAATTGTTGTTATCATTGACGGTGATGAGCCCAGCTTTGTAGAATTCTACCTGTAGTCCCTCACACAGATATACAAAAAAGGCCAAATCTCTCATTTCTTTGTTCGGCACATTGCCATCAGTGTTAATGTTGATGTCGTTGATGATAATATCGTTGGTGCTATTTTCATTGGAGTTCATTTGGCTGAAGTGATACTCAAAGAAGCATTGTAGAGAGATTAGCATTTCGTTGAGGCCCAAGCTTTTGAAGAACTGAAATTTTTTTTTTTAATATTTAAAATATTTGATATAACTTGTTTGGAAATTGAAATAAAAAATAAATTTATCACCATTTACAAATGTCAAAAATAATATAAAATTTGCTAAATAATTTTATTCTAACGTTATAAAACAACCAATTTGAATTAAATTAATGAGGAAAAATCAACCAACTGAAAAGTAGATAGGCAAAGAATGACAAAAGATAAAATATAAAATAGATTTAAAAAAATTTTCTAAAACAAAAAAAAACGAAAAATTAATTAAAAAATATACACCTGGATCATGTGATGATCCCAGTACATCATCTTATGGACCTCAAAGCAGAATGTAAAATTCCACTTTGGAAATCGGTCTACGATGGATGGCATAGAATGCCTAAAGTTGCACGACTCTCTCAATTTCCTGAAATGCTCATCTTCAGAGCAGGCTTTCCATAGCAGAACAATCGAAAACTTACTCACAACTTTCCACCAGGAAGATCTGAGACAAAAAAAAACAAAAAACTTAATAATCAACAAAATAATTAGTTAATTAATTAATGAGTTTAGCAGAATGGCTATAATAAAAATTGTTTAAAAGCAGAAGGCATTTTTAAAAATTAACACTTAACAAGGCATTATAAATTACTTGACGTCCTACCTTGGGAAACCGGGTCTCTGGACGCAAAACAAAGATTGATTGATTGATTAACAAGGCATTATAAAAACTAACAGCCTGGCATATTCGTATAAAACTTTTGAAATAATAAGAAACATTTCAATTTTAGTTAATTGTTAAAAAAAATTAAATTTAGAAGTAAATATAAAATTGAATTTAAAAAAAAATTCTAACGAGGTACTATCAATAATTTCGTCGAGTGCATGTTCCAGATCCAGAAATGATTCTTTCCTTGCATCTGAATACTTGAAATTCTCCAGAGTCAAGCAACACTCCTATATTAATTATTTGTAAATTTAAAATTAACATTAATATAGCAATTATTATTATTATATTTTTTAAGCACAAATTAATTAGTAGAGCGGGTAATGTAGTAATGTAATAATATAAATTAAATAAGTTTTAATTTTAATGTTGTATAATTTATTTTAGCATTTTCAGGTTAAAAATTTTTAAGCTGAAAACCATCATAGAGATATAACATATAAACATGCTAAAAAAAAAACAGGGTTTAATTAATTTAATTAAAATATATATATATATAATATTATAATTTATCATATGAAATCATGAAATAAAGTAAAAAAGTGAATAAATAAATTAATTAATTAATTAGTAAAAAGTAGGAAAAAAATGCCAAAACCTTTTGAATCCGTTGCAGGGAGGAGAGAAAGGCGGAGAAATCCAAGTTGAACTCTACTAACTCGAACATGATGAAAATGATACCAACCAGGTAAACTCGGAGACCAGAAACTGGTTTTCCCAGCAATATTTGTTTAGCTTTAAAAAAGACAGCTTACAAAAACTCAGCTTGCAAGGGCATAAAATAAATGCTAGAATTGGTTCATGTTATGTGAAATGCGTTTTATTGTGTAAAAAGTTTGATGTAAAAACTGATTGTTATAAAAAATTGTAAAATTAACATCTTTAATAAAAGCTTGTAATTTAAATCAAATCTTATTAATATTTTTACGATATATTCATTGGACTAAATTTATAACTTAAGTTTACTTTTCGTACTTTACTTTTAAAACAATACAGGTGTCAATTCAAATCCTTTTAATTTAAATTAACGTGCGTCAGCTGAAATAAAATTCGAAAAATGGCCAGAAATAGTTTCGAAGAAGTTTTTGAAAAAGTTTTCACTTTGCTCATGAAAAAATTAAAACAACTGCTAAAATGGCGAAAGTTATTAGGCTTCGTTATCGGTCTGATCGTTTTTTACCGGGTTTTCTTCACGAGATCCAGCAGTAAAACCGGATTCACGTCTGCCGTAAGATGCAAGGCTGACGTCGCTAAGGTTATCCTTGTGATTGCGCGTGTCTCAGTCCTTATTAAAATATAGGATGTGCGATAATCTGGGGTAGAACAAAAGATCCTTTTATCACATTCAAGCAGCTCCTATGTAAAACTTAAACATCTGAAGTGAATGATGTATTATAATACAGTGCGATATTTATTTGTGTAATATGGAATAATGGTGTAATGTAATAGAGTTTTAATAATGCTGATAATTTTGAATTTTCTTAATGTTTAGGTAGCTATCCCTAGTGAGAAACAAAGGAGAGAGTACCTCCTACCACTTGGTACAGATTACAAAACAATAGAGGAAGACTTCTTCTAGTTAGCCTACCATAATTTTCGAAATAAATTTACATTATTTCATTTTTAAATCTACGATTATATGAAAATAAACATAAAAACTCATTATAACTACTGTAAAATTTCAAAAAATACTAAAAATAATAATGATAATGCAAATGATGCTAACCAAAAAGTTAATAATAATTTCATCTATAACTAATTTTAATTATAAATACCGTCATTCATGTCCTAATTAGCCTGATAAGCAGCATAACAACAAACTGTCAGAATCAGGAACATCTGGGGCCTCCAGAAGAAGGGGGTTGGGATGTTTGCCTCGAACCCAGGTACGACATCACCCCACCTTGCCTCGTTTACTCGTTTGGGTTTGTTTTGTTTTGATTTTTGGAATTAGTTTATTTTATAAGTATTAGTTTAATTAGTAATTTAAGAAATTCTTTCCATAAATTTTTATTAAAAAGTGGATTTAAATTAAGAGTTTTTTTCATTTCACCTGGCAGTGTTGGCAACACATTTGAGTTTGAGAAAGATGTAGAGAGAGTGCTGAAATGTGAAGTACATGCATTTGATCCTAGGTAATTATTGTTCTATATACGCATGTTATGTATTTGTTTATGCATCTATGCTTTTGTTTGTTCTTTGTAATTGTGTTTTTTGTATCATTTAAACAAATACAATTTTGTATTTGGTATTTTTATTTAATTTAAAAAAATTTTCTCTTCACCATCAGCATTGGTTTGGAATCATTTCAATTCTCCAAGAATGGTCACTTCCACAATTACGGCATAGACAACATAAACACCAAAGACACAAGAACAGGGTGGACCATGAAGAGGCTGGGTGATATTATGAAAGAGCTAGACCATAGAGGAGTGCGTTTGTTTTGTTTTACCCATTGACCACTTTTTCTTCTTTAGTTGCAAATTTTTTTTAAACAAAAGCATTCTCACACACCACACCAGACAATATACACCATACCTCTCATGAAACATGTCAGGAGACTGCATGACGTGTCAGATGGTTAATTGTTGAGTTTGGCACAGGCGGGATTCGAACCAGGTCAGCACGCAATAACAACAACGCAGAACACATGAAATCTTCGCCTAGTGCCTGAGCTAACCTATCCTCTCTACATTTAATATTGTTTAATTTTTTTTCCATTTGTTCGTTTTCATTTTCAATTCCGCTAAACAATTTCGTGTTTAAACGACCTTTAAAAGCCATTAAACACGAAAGAAATAAAATGCTTGTAGTTTGTGCGTCGGTTGAGGTTGCATTTGAATCCGGCTGTGAGATGTCAGTGAGAAGCAAATCACACTTTAAAAACGCATATTTGTGTGGCGGTGATCAACCTTTACATTTCTCAAATATCATTAACAACACCATCTTAACAATAAGTTTAATTTAATTGGTCCAACCATGCGCCGCTAATCATCCACACAGAGAAATATCGACATCTTAAAAATGGACGTGGAGTTCTCTGAATGGCTAGTCTTGAACGACCTCATCACAGCCAACCACCTGCAATTCATCCGCCAACTATATCTAGAAATTCATACACCGGAAGTGGACATTCACGAAAGGCCGGATCACAGATGCTCAAAGACGTCTCCGGATTCGATCGCGTTCATGCTGCGAACTCTCGTTGATTTAAAAAATGCCGGATTTAGCCTGTTCGGCAGTCGAACTAACTACCGCACTAAATTCATCTCGCCGGTCTCAGGGAAAGAGCGATATTGCTGTCATAACTTGCATTTCGTCAATACGAGACATCATTTGAACCGCGGTTGAGCCTGCCTCGTTGCCACTCCATACTTCAGTTTTTTTTGTTTTTTGTTTGTATAAGGGTTGAATTTGTCGTTCGTTTTTGTGCTTTTTAAGATCGAATGATATAATAAAAGTGTGTATTAATAATTGTAATAATTAATAATATAATATGCTAAACATAATTATAAAATAATATTATATAATAATGTTAATACACAATAATAATTAATTACAATTGGTTGATGTTAGAAATATTTGGATAAATGTAAGGAAGAATGTTTCGTTGGATGGATGGATGGATGGATGGATGGATGGATAGATGGATTGATGGTATTACGAAACCGGTGGATGGATTGAAAGATTGATTGATAACTAAATGTTCTCACAGTATTAGGAGGTGATTGTCGTTACGTTATAAAAAATGAATAAAGAATGATTGATGCATCTATGGAGGGAATGAATAAATGGATGGATGAATGTCTGAATGAATAAATGAATGATGTGTCTAAGTGTTAAAATCAACCTGGATGATATTCTAACGAGTCGGTATAATATTTTTACAATTTGAATATAATTATTTACAAATAATATATTTTTTTTCGTGAATAAACACATTTAATTTCATATTTTACTACAGTATTTTAACATTGCAAATTTGTTACAAACAAAACACAAAACAAGAACCGCATCTTCGCTACTTCTGATTGGCCTATCGAGATAAGTTTTCTCGTAGCTGTCATCTCATTGGCTAATAATCTGACCAATGAGAAGTGTCCTATGATGTCGCATATACAAATTTGAAACATGTAGGAATGTTGCTTTAGAAATTGAAATTGTTTGTGAGATTTATAACAATATAATTTATTCAATTAAATAAATTAATGATTACGCTCAAAAGTTTTAATTATAACTAAAAAAATTGCACTGGGGGTGAAAATAAATCCAAGTTAGTCACATTCTATTGTAGGTATTTCTCGATTTTTAATTGAAACTAGTATTTTGGATGGAATCATTCAAGTTTAGCAGTTTCCTCATTAAAGATAATTGATTAAAAATTCAGAAATAGTTTAATTTTATGTAAACAACGAACGAATTATTTTAAATCAAGAATGTTTGAAAAAATGTTGCTAACAAGCTGTCACTTGTCTACCGAAAGGCCGATTAAAACGAAAAAAATAACCGAAAACACGTTCTTACTTACTTATTTTAACGGTGACGTCAGCGATCAGGTGGACGAGCACTTCCGGCGGGCGATAGAATTGGGTCAGAACAAAGTTCAAGGTCGTTGTCAGGGTAACCCAGATTGGAGGAAGCACAGGCAGTTCATGCTGGCCAATAGGAGAGTAAAAAATTACGACGATGATGGCAAAAACGATAACAACAACAACGTTAATAACAACGGTGACGACGACGATGCCAAGCTGCGTTATCATCATCATCACCAACAACATCAGCAACAATTACAGCGTTATTACCAGCAACACCACCATCAGCATTACCATCATCAGCTTTCATCTTTGCAAACGATAGCAGAGGAGTACAACATCATATACAATGGAGATACCAACAGTAACTGCAACTTGTTACATGGTAACAAAAGTTTTAACAGATTTTCAAACAACAACGACGACGA